GAGGCAATAAAGACCCAGACTCAGGGTGTTGCTGTGGAGATGGAGAGCAGATGGTAAATTTGACAGACATTACGAAGGGTGAAATTTATTCCTCTATTCAAAACATATTTATTAGATGCTTACTATATGTTATTTATGCTTACACTATCTGGACTCAACTTTGCCTGTAATTGCTAGCACGATTTTAAACTTTAAAATTATGTTATACAATTTTTATTTGAAAAAAATTTTTAAAAAATGTTGAACCACTGAGGCATGTGTTACGTTAATGTCAACAAGAAATGTTCATCTCAGTGCCACGGTTCCCAGCGATCTCACCATTTTGGCTGCTTTTATTTAAAATAAATCTAATTTGTCGATAAATTGCAGGTGACCTTAGTCAAGGGTATTTGAAAGCTAGCTCAAAAAACAAAAGGGTATTTTTGAAATGCCCTCCATAGCACCAGTGAAGTCAAAGCTGCAAGTCTTGGGGTCATAGTATTGATAACCTTGTAGCAGCATGCCAGCATCCCTGAAGATGGGTGTGTGATTTCCCCAGGATGGTTTGGGCAGAAAGACATCTCAACTGAACGTAAAATATGTTTGCCAGAGCAAAGTGTTCTTCTTCTCCATACCTGCGCCCATAATCCCAAAGGAGTAGACCCTCGTCTAGAGCAGTGGAAGGAAATACCAGCAGTGGTGAAGAAAAAGAATCTCTTTGAATTCTTTGACATAGCCTACCAAGGCTTTGCTAAGCAGTAATGGTAACAAGGATGCCTGGTAACAAGGTAACAATGGTAACAAGGACCAGCCTGAGCAAGAGCAAGATCCTGTCTCTACTAAAAAAATAGAAAGAAATTGGCTGGATAACTAAAAATATATAGAAAAAATTAGCTGGGCATGGTGGTGCATGCCTATAGTCTCAGCTACTCTGGAGGCCGAGGCAGGAGGCTGAGGCAGGAGGATTGCTTGAGCCAGGAGTTTGAGGTTGCTGTGAGCTAGGCTGGCGCCATGGCACTGTAGCACGGGCAACAGAGTGAAACTCTGTCTCAAAACAAACAAAACAATAAATTAGTGTTACTCAATCTTTTTGGCCACAATCCATGTAAGAAATATGTTTTACACCAAATGACCCTGAACACACATTATGTACTTATGTGTGTATGTATATATAACTGAAACCATTTTTAAAACTCAATGCTTAAGACTTCGTGTGCTATACTCCAATATTTTCTACATGCCAATTGCATCTTACTAAATTAAATTTATGGCTTATGACACACAGTCTAGAAAACATGGCTCTAGATCAGGGGTTGGCAAACTATGTTCTAAGAGTCAATTCAGTCTACTTCTGTTCTTGTAAATAAAAGTTTTATTGGAACACAGCTGTTGCCATTAAAAAAACCAAAAAACAAAAACAAAAGGGAGAATATTTGCAAAGAATCTTTTAGAAATCTAAGGGCAGGAACTGTTGGCCTCAGAAGTTTCACAGCATTGTGAAACTATTATTTTGGTCAACGTGGTTGTTGAAAAATATTTTTCTAACTTCTCTTATTAAAGTTCAAGTCAGATATTCTTTTCCTGGACAAAATATTCTTCTGAAGTCCTGGAGGATTTGAGAAGAATAGGAAGATGGAAAAATGGGAAATGGGAACAAGGATTGTTATCTTTCTTCTAGTTGTACTAGCTTTTCCAACAGAAACACATTGGGCTGGTTGCCATAGCAGCCATGTTGGTGGCTATCCCAACATGATCTTATTTGTCCTTGAGCTAGGCAGAAGATGCTTTAGTCAACAAACATTTTCTTGAGTGAAAACCTATGCTCTACTCTTGATAACCAGACACTTGTTTAATGATTTATGGGGAGAATAGGCCTAAGTAATGGGCCTTTGGAAAGACTTCTCACACCTCTCTTATTTGCCCTATAAATTATTATGTATTCCTTCCCTGTGCCTTGAGAGGCAGCTTTATTCCCTTGAGGACACAAGTAGGCAGTGAGACAGCAGCAACACTTCTTTTCAAGCAATAGCACAGATATTCTTTCACAGGACTCTTCTGTCGACTGGTCAGTTTCTAAGCAGTAAAAGCCTAAGATTAAGTTAATTTTATTCTGTAACATAATCTAAACATTTCCTTCTGCTCTCCTTTCTTAAAATTTATGTAGGAATTCTTTTTTTTTTTTTTTAAGAATTTTTGATAACCTTCTGGTGGTGCTTAATTTAACTGTGGCAATGGCCTCATTGCATAGAAGTTTAAAACTTTATGATGTGTCACAATCCATTTATAGAAATTTGGTTCTATAAATTTGTAGAATCTTGATTTTCATAATGATATAAAGCAAATGGTTATACAAATTTTTGTAGTAGTTTATAGCTAATACTTAATGATGAAGGGAAAAATGTGAAATAATAGTAAGAATAAGGGAATTTTTGGTTTTACAGTGAAAGTTATAAATTTATTTGTTCTCTTATATTCTTTTTTACAAAACAAATTATAGGGGTCAGGCACAGTGGCTCGCATCTATAATCCCAGCACTCTGGGAGGCCAAGGTGGGAAGATCTCTGGATGCCAGGAGTTGAGACCAACCTGAGCAACATAGTGAGACTCCCTACTTCCATGTCTACCAAAACTAGAAACATTAGTCAGGCATGGTGGCACACGCCTGTAGTCCTAGCTGCTTAGAAAGCTGAAGCAGGAGGATTGCTTGAGTCCAGGAGTTTGAGGCTGCAGTGAACTATAATAATGCCATTGCACTTTAGCCCAGGCAACAGAGTAAGATCCTGTCAAAAAAAAAAAAAATTATAATGTTGTATGTCTTTGTTGACAACACTTAAAAGATGACATTTGATAATCATTGTTAGGATTAGATAATAATATTAAGTGGGGATTGAAAAATAAGACACTAGATTTAGAAAGATTTTATTATATATTAGAAATATAAAAAGTTAATTTTATACAGACTAATTCTTCTCATGAAGTACTGTATAGAACCTAGCAAGCTTTCTAATATAATTTTAAATATTCTGCTTTGGAACATATTTGAGAAAAATAGGAAGTTAGTTACACAGCAGGAGACATCTATTTTAATTTTGTTCCTTTTACCTTTGAGAATAATAAAATTTTTTAAAATGTGAGAGTATATTTTGAATATTACTTGAGACATCTAATTAGGTTTATAAAACCTGCAGAGTTACATAATCAAGACTTTGCCATAAATGTTAATAGGTTACATATTGTATATGAAACATCAGGGTGGGTTAGCAACTGTAGAGAGCCTCTTGCTGCTTGATGGTAGAGAGAAACAGTTTTTAAATCATTTTCTCTATCTTGTGGTCACTTTGCCACTTTGCTTTTTGCTCTACCTAGTCTTTAGTGATTCCTTTAGTCATAATGGCTACTAATCCCAGAACCAATGGAAAGAGTTTTTTTTTTTTTTTTAATTGAAAAAACAGAGACAGATTGAATCTGTCTCTGTTGCCCTGGGTAGAGTGCAGTGGTGTCATCATAGCTCACTGCAACCTCTAACTCCCCTGCTCAGGTAATCCTCCTGCCTCAGCCTCCCAAGTAGCTGGCTGGGACTGCAGGCACAAGCCATGACGCCAGGCTAATGTTTCTATTTTTAGTAGAGACTGGGTCTTGCTCTTGCTCAAACTGGTCTCGAAGTCCTGAGTTCAAGGGATCCTCCTGCGTTGGCCTCCGAAAGTGCTAGGATTATAGGTGTGAGCCACTGTGCCCAGCAGAATTTTTTACAATGTTACTATATGTGATAAGGATAAAAAAAAAGCTGATAACAACTAGCAAATATGGTTGGATTTTCATATTCTATTTCTTGAAATGCTTATTCTGTACTTTGTAGAATTTCATTGTCCTCTTTTCCATATAATGTATTAATATTTCAAGGACCATTTTTACTGTTTATATACTTTCTCTTCTTTTTTTTTTTTTTTTTTTTTTTTTTGAGACAGAGTCTCACTTTGTTGTCCAGGCTAGAGTGAGTGCCGTGGCGTCAGCCTAGCTCACAGCAACCTCAAACTCCTGGGCTCGAGTGATCCTTCTGCCTCAGCCTCCCGAGTAGCTGGGACTACAGGCATGTGCCACTATGCCCGGCTAATTTTATATATATATATATCAGTTGGCCATTTAATTTCTTTCTGTTTATAGTAAAGACGGGTCTTGCTCTTGCTCAGCTGTTTTGAACTCCTGACCTTGAGCAATCCGCCCGCCTCGGCCTCCCAAGAGCTAGGATTACAGGCGTGAGCCACAGCGCCCGGCCGTCTTCTTAAGATATACTTCCTTTTATGGAGTTAAAACAAACTTATGGATTGAAAGAATTTTGTAAGTTTTACTATATGTAGGTTTTTAAAGCTCTATTAAGTATAATTAACAAATAGAATATATGTTTACCGTGTACATGATGTTTTAATATATGTATATGTTCTGAAATGATTAAATCATGCTAATTAACAGTTCTATCAACTCACGTGCTTATCTTTTTCTGTGTGATGAGAACATTTAAGATCTATTTTCTTAAATATAATAGTTATTATTAACTGTAGTTATGGTGCTATATATTATATCACCAGAACTTATTCATCCTTTCTAACTGAAACTTTTTACACTTTGACCAACATCTCTCCATCCCCCAGCCCCTGGCAACCTCCATTCTACTCTCTGTTTCTATGAGTTTGACTTCTTTAGATTCCACATATAAATGAGATAATGTAATATTTGTCTCTCTGTGCCTGGCTTATTTTATTTTTTGTGTGCCTGGCTTATTTCACTTAGCATAATATCCTCCAGGAACTGGCTTGATTTGCTAATTTAAAACTATATGAATGCCATTTGAATTTTTCAATTCTTATAATCTTATATGCATAATAAATATAGATAATATTAACCTATATAAATAAAAAGCTCTTTTGGGGGCCTTAATTTTTAAAATAATTTATTGTCTACCAGTGAGATGTTTAAAAAATAAAAAAAATAACTTTTTGTCTCAAATAATTTTAGATATAGAAAAGATGCAAAGATAGTATAAAGAATACCTAGGTACCACAGTTTATTTCCCTTAATGTTGTCATCTTACATTATAATTGTACATTTGTCATTACTATTACATTATTATTGACTAAATTCCAGACTTTATTAGGATCTCTCTGGTTTTTTTCATTATTGTCCTTTTTCTGTTACAGGATTTAATCCCGGAGATAAATTGCATTTAGTTGTTATTTCATCTTGGTCTCCTATGGTTTGTGAGAGTTTCTCAGTCTTTCTTGATTTTCATGACCATGTCAATTTTGAGGAGTAACAGTCAGAGACTTTGTAGAACATCCTTCAAATTGAGTTTCTTCTAATGTTTTTCTCATAAATATACTGGGTTTATGAGTCTTGGAAAGAATACCACAGAGGTAAAGTACCCTTTTTATCACATCATATCAGGTGGTACATGATATTCACATGACATCATGACTGATGTTAACCTTGTTCAGGGCAGTGTTTGCCAGGTTTTTCTCCACTATGTAGTTATTATTTTCCTTTTTCCATACTTTCTTTTTTGGAAGTGAATTCTAATACTGTGTCCAGCCTACCTTCAATGAGGAGGCAAGGCCTAACCTTTACCTCCTGGAGGGGAGAATACCTACATCTATTATTGTGAATTCTCCTGTAAGGAAGATTTGTTTCTTATTATATTATTTGTTTAATCATTTATTTATATCAGTTTGGCCTCACATATATTTATTTTATACTTTGGGTTATAATTCAATATTACATTATTTGTTTTGTTGCTCAAATTGTTCTAGCTTTGGCTATTGAGTGTTTCATGAGGTTGGCTCAATATTTAACAGTGTATAGTGGCCCTGACCAAAATGTTTGAGAACAGCTGGTTTAGGTTATGGTCATAGGATTGAGTAGCTGGGGCAGGGGGAAAGACAATATTGTTGGAGCAGAGTTCTAGGAATTAAGAATTAGAGTGTGAGAAAAAAATAAAGAATTTAAGCAGGAGTAGTTTGAAAAAGTGAGCCAGGAGCTCAGATAATGTAGAAATGAAGGGATGGAGCAGGGCAAGCATATGGGGTGGATTGATAGTTTCTGAGCAGTTTAGAGTAGATGGCTCTAGGGGAGGGAGGGAGAATGATCTGGAGTGGTAATAAGGAGGAAGGAACACACCTTCTTTACCTTTAGGCCCAGTGGTTTCTTCCAGGGCTATATGAGGAAAAGCAGTCAGTCTTTGAGAAGATTGCATGCAGGGAAAACAGTGTCTTCCAAAAAGAACAAAGCGACACATATTTGAAGAACTGTTAATGTAGAGGATTTTGCTGGTAATAGACTGTTAATTCCAGAGGGTACTCCCTGGAAGTATTTCCTCCTTCCAGAATTAGGATGGTGGGGGATGGACAGGCTTGAAGCTCTTACTCGAGGGGGAAGGGGGAGCATGGGCAATATATATAACCTTAACACTTGTACCCCCCATAATGCGCTAAAATAAAAAACAAAACAAAACGAAACAGAATTAGGATGGGAGGGGAGATGGGAGCAAAACAGAGGATGTAGAGAAGAGTTATAAAGATTAGTGTGTGGGAAATGAGTGTAACCTGGGAGTCTGTAGCTTCTTGTGGTGTCTGACATAAACCGGATGAAGGGAATAATGACTTTAATCCTGGTGGATCTACAGCAGACAGTGGTGGGGAGACTGTGAAAGTTTCAGGGTAGGGAGGCATTTCTCAGACTCCCTTTTGAGTTCTGCAGAAGGAGACAAAGAAGTATGGAGAGGGAGGGTTTTACTCTGAGTTTGCAGGCCTGCTAAACAAGTGAGTTCATGTGAGCTCAGCTATACAATGAGGGCTCCTGTTTGATCTCTATCAAGTGGAAGGTAAGAGGCCTGGGGCTGACTGGTATTGCTGATGTATAGCATACACACAGAAAAATGCACAAATCATGAAGGTTCAGCCTGGTAATATTTTACCAAATGTACCCACCTGTGTAACCAGGACCTAAATCAAGAAGCAGAATATTACTAGAACCCACAAGGTAACCCTCAAGGGCAATCATTATCCCAACTTATAACACAATTAGTTTTTCCTGTTCTTGAAGTTTATATAAAAATATAGTAAGTACTCTTTTGATGCTTTTACCTAACATTGTGACACTGATATAGTTTGTTCATTCAAAGATATATTTTGTTGTATAGAATTCCAAGCGTGGTACATATACTGTAATTTATTCATTCTATTCTTGTTGAGCAATTTGGTTTGTTTCTAGTTTTTGGTTATTTTTAAAAAACTGCTTCTGTGAACATACCTGAACATATCTTTCAGAAAACATATGTCCACATTTATGTTGAGTATGTTTTTATGGGTGAAATTGCTGGATGCATAGAGTGTGCATGTATTCAAGTTTAGAGGATATTGCCAAAGCGTTTTCCAAGATATTATACCAATTTGCATTCACACTAGCTGTGTCTGAATATTGTTGTTTCTTTTTCAACACTTGGTATGATCTGTCTTTCATTTTAGCCATACTTGAGTGTGTGTGTACGGTGTATTTCATTTCCCTGATGACTAACAAGGTTGAACACCTTTCATATATTAAGTTTTCATTTGGATAAGTGATGGTCTGGTTTTTCCTACAGGTTTGTCTGCCTTTTTCTTAATAATTTATAAGAGTTCTTTATATATTCTGGATATGTGACTTTTGTAATACATATGAATTGCAAATATCTTCTCCCACTCTCTGGCTTTGCCTTTTCATTCTCCTAGTGGTATATTTTGGTGAATAGAAGTTTTTATTTTTGATGAAGTCCAATTTATCCTTTTTCCCCCTTATGATTTTGTGCTGCTTGTTTTAGAAGCCTTTGCCTACCCTAAGGTTATGAAAGTACTTTCTTATGTTTTCTTCTAAAAGCTTCATGTTTTACTGTTCACAATTAAATCTATGATCCAGCTGGAACTGTTTTTTGATGCTCTATAAGTTAGGGGGTCATGGTTCTTTTTTTCCCTCCCCATGTAGCTATACAGTTGACCTAGCCACATTTATTATAAAGACTATCCTTTCTTCACTAAATTGCAGTGTCACTTTTGTCATAAATTAGGTGACCATATATATGTGTAGGTCTGTTTCTGGCCACTCTAGTCTGTTCCATTGGCTTGTTTTTCTACCCTTATTATAGTACCACACTGGCTTAATCACTATAATTTTTGGTAAGTTTTATACTAAGCCTTGACATCTGAAAGTCCAAGTCCTCTAGCTCTGTTGTTCTTCAAGATTGCCCTTGACTATTCTTGGTCCTTTGCATATTGCTCTTGATTCCTTTTAATCTTTTAAAAATTAACCTTAATTTTAACAAGATAATTATTTTGAATTTTTGTAAAAATGTTACTCTCCAAGTCTATGTAACTTGATGTAGTGTGGTTCTATTTGTGGTAACTTTCTGTCTTAATTTATTAGATGAACAGTGGAATGTATACAAAAGAAAACTTATGTGCATTTATATTTACTTTGTTCCACAAATTTGCATAATAGGATAAAACTAAGTAGATACAGGTAGAAAGAAAATAAGGTAAGAATATAAAATAAAACAATAAATAAGATTAAGGTAGGCCTGCTTTTTTGTGTACAGAGTTAGGACAGAAACTTTGGCTCCCAATTTTATTAGAATCAAAGCAAAGAGAATCAGTTATGAAACTCACAGTACCCATAATATAAAAACAATCAAATGACTCTAAAGGAGAGTTTTTCCTGTTACTGAAAACTCAACATGTGAATTTTCTCCTCTATTAGTATTTAAGGGGAATAAATGTAATTCCAAAGCCAGTTTATCTGAACAGATAATTCTATAAAATCAATAACATAGTATAAATATGTGGTTTTCTGATAGTCTGATTTGATCTAAGGATAAGATGGGGCATTTCTTTTATTCTAAAAAATAAGATAGTTTCTACTACATTGTTATTTTGATGATTAAGAAGCCTAATGCAGGGTTTATGCCTGAATTAGGAGGTTAGGAAATTCAAATAGAGCTAAAGTTTTCCTCAGGAAACAGTTTCTAAACCCAATTCCATACATCTGGATGGGTAAAGAAAAATACATTATACTTTGACAAAAATTTTGTTTGAGATAAAACTGTTTTGCTTTCCCTTTAACTTATTTTTTTTTCTTATTTATACTTAAGTAAATCCCAGTCTTCTAAATAACTATTGTTAAATATGGTCATTGTCTTGAATATTGTCACTTTTACTTTTTAAAAAATGAATATTTTAAGCTCTCAAAAAACCGAATGGCTTGCCTTGATAGTTACCATTGTAAAGAACTGACATATAAGCAAATTAAATTACTTTAATGCTTTTAATAAAGTCCGTTTGGATGCATGTCTTTTTATGTTTTCACAATTTTGAAATATTTTCTGTAATTTTCTTAAGATAAACGATCTTTTTGAAATTATTGAACCAAAACCAGGGAAAAATATGCAATATGTTTTGCAGCTGGCATTGCTGAAAGCTGAATGAAAATTGTAGAGCCAGTTTCATGTTATAATATTTATACATTTGTCAGGATTCTTGCATCTTAAAGCTTGTTTTTTGTACACATTGGTTTTGAAATGAATGTAGTAATTTATGTTTGAAACTACTTTAATTTTACAAATAAGATGTAACTTAACTTTGTAGAATTATATCTACCCATAGTAATCTGACTGTAAAGAAAATGTATTCAAAATTTTAACATTTTTCTATGTTAATTTTCAGGTTGAAGGTTTAGAACAGATGTGGAAAGATGTTCACTTCAGAGAAAGGGGTTGTGGAGGAATGGTTGTCAGAGTTTAAGGTAAATTTACTGTTCTTTCTAAAGAAGTTTTGTCTGGGGATTAAATTCCAGTGACTTTTTAATTTTATATGACTGAAAAGCTAAATATCTGTGGAAGAAGTATATTTTAACAAATCTCAGTAGGAAATTATTTACACATAGTAATCTTTTGTGGGAAATTGATTCCTTTTTTTCTCCAAGTTGTTCAAAGAATTTATTCATTTGTTTGTTTGTTTATTTTTTCCCTTTCATGGCAACACTACAAAGAATGGTTAAAGTCTTTGAATGTTGATGTCACTCTCCAACCAACCATCAATGGTTCGATGTTAAAATGTTGCATCCAGTTTGGGAGACAATGGAACTGGGCATATTCAACAATGAGGAGAGAATGGGAAGATATTTGCCCAAATTTATACTAGTGGATCTTTCTCTGGCTGGCTAACCCAGTGGCTATATATAAGGAGTGTATAATATAACCTTTGATTAGTGGCTGAAGAAGGTTTTCTTGTCTCATGAACTCCTCTCTATGATAGCTAAAATTGTATTCCTTAAACCAGCTAATTAGCTTTTTATGTCCTATGTGACATAAGGCCAAGGCCATCATGATTGATTAAGTGAGCTGAGAGTCAGAAACCCTTTGTTCTCATTCTAATTCTCCCATTAGGTGGTTTTATCATGTTGGACAAATCACATAACCTCTCCAAGTCTCAGTATCTTCATCAGAAAAATTAAAGTATTGTAGGTACTTTAGCTCTATACTGTTCCATGGTCATAATCGGTGCTCCTAATCTTATAACCTCATTCAGTAGTCTCACAAATGCATACAGACAACACAATTTGCTTTGGTAAATCTTTTATTTTAAATTTTTAAAATTAAAAACAAATTTTTGCCTTTGGTGAAAACATTCAGTGTCTGCTCTAGCTATGGACTCTCATTAGTATTTTCTTTATATATAGATCCTGGTTAGACTTAGGATTTCATTATTTTAAGATTTCACAAATAGTTGAAGCTCTGTCTTTTCAGATTTATTTATAAAATATTATCTTTCAGACTATCTTATATTTTTCTTAATGCTGAATGTGGATTTATCTAGCAGATTTCTAGACTCCTAATTTTTTTGATTTTCTAATGGTCACTGAATCTTAATATGTGACTCAAAATCAAATCTTATGTGTGATGTTGTAGAACAGAGTTGTTTTATATATTGGTTCGTCATCCATCTGTCCATCTTTATTAATTCTCTTCTACCCAACCCATATCACCTCCTTACATTTTTAAAAAGCCATCTGCCAAATGATACTTTAGTATGAAGCATCTGTCTTCTTCAAATTTTGCCAAAAATAATTTCCCAGCATAATTTTCCACTATTATTTTTCATCTCCAGTTTTGTCTTCTGAATTGTGAGAAAGCTTAACTGGTATTTAAGAAGGCTAGTACCTTTGAACTAGTACAGTACAAGAAAATTTAACTGTTTGCTACAACAGTATTTAAATTCATTTGGCCCTTTTAGATTTGTGTTTTTTCAAAGCACCATTCATACATAGCAGTTACATTTTCTCCCTCTCTACAGACAAAAGTAACTTTTCCCACATTCATAAAATGAAATAACTACAGAATTATGAATAAATCTTAAAGTTACTGCACTAATATTTATAATACCCTTCCTCTCATTTAGAAGTAGTAGCGGAGGTCCAGGGTATTTTCTAGAGCTTGTCTTTTCAGAAAAGAGCTGTCCTTTTACCTTTGCCTGTTTCACAGAAAACATTTTACCTCATGAGGATCAATCGATATATACAAGCTGAAAATTGTAACTCATGTTTTTAATGACTGTTCCAGTTTTAGCCTAGATGGTATATATAATGCTAGAGTAATTTCTCTATTTATTGATAATTTTTTAAAGATATATTTCAATTTACTTATACTTAAATTTTATAGTTAGACATATGTATTATACATATATACAGTTACACATATTAAATATATAAAAATGTGTTTATATATAAAACATATTTTATATATAATGTAGGTTTGTTTATATTTAGGGGGTTAGAAATCTGCTGTTGATTTAACTGTTATTTCCTTTTATATAAATTCCCCCAGTATTAGGTTACTCTTGATCAAATGACGGAAATGAAATGTTGCCTGGACATCTTTTGTTACATGCTTTTTTAAATATTGAAGAATACCCTAATCTCTTCTTTATGTAAGCAGTTGCAGTGAAAATATTTTTTGCTCTGGAGAATGGTAAAAGGTTCAGATAGTTCACATTTACTTACCATTCTGGTAAACAAAACTCTATTTTTAACTACAAAAGGAATCTATTCCCTTATATATCCTAAGGTGAAATATGACCTACATTTAAAGAATCTACTGAAGTGTAAACAGTGGCAATTTTTATTTCTTATATTGTTCATCTATAATAAGTTCCCTCAGCAAAAGTTTGAATATAAGGCCTTGTGATGAGTGCTGTGGATGGAGTGATGATAAGACAGTTCTTGCCCTAAAGTAAAAATGAACCAAATATTCTTATTATAAAAATACATGCTGTTTAATTTTCTATGCTAATTTATACACACATTACCCCCATATACACTAACCATCACTCATAGTAAATCTTGAAATACTACGAAATGGGACATGTTGGAAATAGTGTTTATCTTGGAATGACCTAGGAATATCTTGAGACAAGGTATGCACTGTAGGATTAGCATTGATTGATTGAGTGATTGAAGGAAGTAGTGTGCGTGAGAAAGAATAATGATGTGGGAGACACATATTGGTAAGGAAGCTGGGGGCGATATGCTCCAGAAGGATAGGCTTTTATCATTTGTTATGATGAGTGTTTTTTATTTTTTATTTTTGTAATTCTATATACTTTTTTGCCCAAAACCATCTGATTTACGACTGGAGTTTTATCTTTTCCCATTCCTCTCCTGTCATGGTGTTCTTTCTGAATGCTGGCGAGCTGTGATTAGTTGTCTATATTTTAAAAGGCATTAGGAAAACTAGGTTGTTGGTAATGTGGATATCTTTTTTTCTAGTTTCAAAAAGTCTAAATACACCACTGCCCCCACCCAACTGGCCCTGCCTCGCCACATTGGTAAAGTAGAGCAGCCTTACCAAGCTTAACAGTCATAATGTGTAACTCAGGAGTTATTTTGATCAGATGATCTCCTGTGGCTTTTAGATTTGAAACATTATCTGACCTTATATAACGTATTTATTAAGAGGCAAGGTCAGTACAACTAATGAGATTTGTAATTTATATAATACTACAAAAAGCCCTCTAACTTTTCGCATGGTTTGTATTCTCATTTTTAATCCCTAACTGTGGGGCTGGGAGCAGTGGCTGACCCCTGTAATCCTAGCTCTCTGGGAGGCCGACATGGGTGGATCTTTTGAGCTCAGGAGTTCGACACCAGCCTGAGCAAGAGTGAGACCCTGTCTCTACTAAAAATAGAAAGAAATTGGCTGGACAACTAAATATATATAGAAAAAATTAGCTGGGCATGGTGGCGCATGCCTGTAGTCCCAGCTACTTGGGAGGCTGAGGCAGGAGAATGGCTTGAGCCCAGGAGTTTTTTTTTTTACAGTTTTTCTTTGGGCTTTTGTTTTATTACTTATTTATTTCTCTTTTTTATTTCATCATATTTGGGGGTACAAATATTGTTAAGGTTACATATATTGCCCCTGCCACCCCTCCCCTAGTCAGAGCTTCAAGCATGTCCATCCTCCAGGTGGTGCGCATCATACTCATTATGTAAGTATACACCTGTCTCCTCCTCCCCTCTCCTACCTGCCCGATACCCGATAAACGTTTTTTTGGTTTTTGGTTTTTTGGTTTGTTTTGCATTTTGGTTACATTTTATATCTTTGCCTCTTGCTAGGAAGGGTTAGAGGTAAGCCCTCCCCCTCCACAATGCTTGCCATATCCCTAAGATGTGGGTCTTTCCCCCCCCCCCAATCCCTGGTGAGCACTACCACCATTTGAGCCACCATAGTTTTAATCAGTCAGTACCAATTTGATGACGAGTACATGTGGTGGAGCCCATTTTCCTGATCTTGTGTCGCCTCACTTTGGATAACGGGTTTAAGCTTAATCCAGGATAGTATAAACGGGGCTAGCTTGCTGTTGTTTCTTAGAATTGAGTAATATTCCATTGTGAACAAATACCAAATTTTGATTATCCACTTATGAATTGACGGAACCCAGGAGTTTGAGGTTGCTGTGAGCTAGGCTGACACCATGGCTCGGGCAACAGAGTGAGACTCTGTCTCAAAAAAAGAAGGATCCCTAACTGTGATCAAGAATAAAGAGTATTGATGTTTATTTATGTCCCTATTGGTGATAATAAGATCATATATATTTTTTATTTTGAACTTTTTTGTGAATTACATAACATATAATTCACTATTTTAAGGTAAAAATACAGTAATTTTTGGTGTATTCACAATGTTGTATAAACACCTGCATCTAATTCGAGAATACTACCCTCACCCCTCTTCCTCCTGCAATCTCTGGCAACAGATGATTTGCTGTCTGCCTGTATGAATTTGTCCATTCTGGACATTTCATAAAAATAAAATTTATTTTTTTAAATCTATTTAGACACTACCAGAAACATCTTTACGAAATTATGCCACAAATCTGAAAGACAAGAGTTCTTTAGTATCATCTCTCTATAAAGTTATCCAGGAGCCACAAAGTGAGGTAAGTAGTCTTATGGTTTATTGGCTAGTAGTATTCAGTTGATTAATTTTTATTATGAAATATAACATATATAAAAGAGCAGGAAGTGTATATGTTTAAAAAACAATAATGAACTCCAGTGTGCTATTCCTCAATTATTACTCAATTAGTACCATATTCCAAAGCCATCTTTCTGAGTATTCTCTTTCTCTCTCTTTCTCTCCCTTTCTCTCTCACTGGAGGTAGCTTTGAAAAGTCTGGCTCACTACATTGGTTTTATTCATTCACCAAATATTAGCATGCCCATTATGAGCCATCTGCTTTGCTAGGCAATAGAGAATCAAATTGAGTAACATAAGGTCTTTATCCTGAAAAAGGAAAAGGGGAGAAAATAAGTAAACACATTGTTTTAAGTCAATGCTTAATTCAGTCTGTGGATAAGCACAAGTTTTTCAGGTGGTAAGGTAAAAAAGAACATTCCATATGGTGTGGGGATAGTATATGGAGGCCTAAGAAAGTGCAAGGCATTTCAGGAATGTCAAACTGTTTGGTCTGGCTAGTGCCTTTTCCAGTTCTACCTCTTGTCTCCCTGCCCTCCTTTTCTTTTTTCAGATAGCCAATTAAGTTTGAAGGTGATAAAATAATCTATACTCCAAATTTTAGTGCTTGTAATTCTCATTATTCATAGTAGAAAGAGAAAAGAATTGGAAATAGTGTGGAAAACAAAAAGGTGTGACATTTGAAAAAAGGCAAATAGGCTAAGACAGTGGTTAACAAGAAAGGATAAAGGATAAGGCTGTGGTACGAACTGAAAGTGGAAATGTAGGTTTAGGATGTAACCCTGGTTGGCCTCAAATTCCATCTTAAGCAGTTTAGGCTCTTTTTGCACTGAAGAGATGACTTGTCATTATTGTTTTAGGAAGGTGACTATGTGGAGGCTAGATTGGGGGATGGAAAAATTGAACGCAAGACTAGGAGGCTGTGTATGACAATAGCCTGGGAGGGAGCTGTTGAGAGCCTGAACTTGGGCAGTGTCAGGGGGAATGGAAAGAGCTGGGGAAGAGGAAAGGGATCTGAGGTATGTATTAATAATTCCTTTGGTACTTGAGTTTGGTGAATAGTGTGATAGGCTCAAACACTACATTCAGTGGTAAAATAACATACCCTGGAGTCCAGTCCTATATGCATCTATGTACCTTTGGGATGAAACTACCAAAATGAGGGATGTTTCTTTTGTTATTTGAGTAGTTAACCTCTTTTGGAGGGAGTGTGGCATAACCCAGCTTCCACTTATTATACTATAAAGTGCATCATGAATTTTAGGTGCTGAAGGGATGAGCGATTATATTGACAAGCCAAAAATCTTTTAACTGTAATAACTGAATTGAACAGTCATATTTGACTATCTTTTACCCATCCCCAAAGCTTCTTAATTTGTGAAGAATGTATAGGTAGGCTGTTTTCTTGAAGCATTTTTATTTTTAAAGAAATTGGGTAGAAGGTGTTTTAAGGTTTACCATGTTTGGTTTAGAATTATTTCACCAAATAGGATAAGTATAGGTATGTGCTTTATTTTTTTTTAACAAGTCTTTTAAAAAAATCTTGTTTATCATTAACTATTTATGATTTTGAAAGGTTTGAAAATTATACTTCTGATGAAGCATGTTTTAACCAGGCTACTTTGGCAAGAGTTTGTAGGATAAATTTGTAATTGGCTAGCTTAGTTTATAGCATTCCTTTTATTTAGATAATTCTAATTAATACAGCTTTAATGGCTCAGAACAGTATTTCTCAAACTATTTTTGAAGAAGGAACTGTTTTTTTAAAAAATTCTAATCGGTCACAGACCAATATGTGTATATAATGTGCATGACTAACATGCAACTTGTACCACACAAATTTGATAATCCCTAACTGATCTATAAGTCTGTTGATCAATAAGTCTGTTCAGTGAGTCTGCTGATTACCTACTTGGATGTTGCAGCAATATCAAGTTGTTATAAAAATTTCTAAATGGCCAGGTGCAGTGGCTCATGCCTGTAATCTCAGCACTTTGGGAGGCCAATGCAGGAGGTTTGCTTGAGGCCAGGAATTCAAGACCAGCCTGGCGAAAGCGAGACTCTGTCTCTAAAAAACAATTAAAAATTAGCTGGGCATGATGGCACACGTCTGTAGTTCTAGCAATTTTTGAGGCTGAGGTAGAAGGATTGCCTAAGCCCAGGAGTTTGAGGTTGCAGTGAGCTGTGATCATCCCACTGCATTCCAGCTTGGGTGACAGATAGAGACCCCTCGAAAAAAAAGTTTCTAAATGCTTCCTTTCAATTTCTGTATTTACATTGTTGGGGGCTGGTAACAGTGTGTAGATAGTTTTCGGTCTGTGTACCACACTTTCAGAAGCACTGGTTTAGGAAGTCTTGCATGTTAGTTTGTTTTATGTTTTTATTTTGAGTTGTGTGGTGAAAATAGTATATAATCTATTTTCCTTTCCTTTCCTCTTTCCTTTCCTCTTTCCTTTCCCCTTTCCTTTCCCCTTTCCTTCCCTCTTCCCTTCCCCCTTCCCTTCCCCCTTCCCTTTCCCCTTCCCTTCCTTTTTCCTTTTTCCTTTCCTTTCCTTTTCTTCTCTCTATTGCTCAGGCTAGACTGAGTGGCACAATCATAGCTCACTATAACCTTGAACTCTGGGTAGCTAGGACTATAGGTGCATGCTACCATACCCAGTTAACTTTTATTTTTTTATAGAGAAGGAGTCTTGCTATATTGTCCAGGCTGGTCTCAAACTCTTGGCCTCAAGTGATCCTCTTACCTTGGCCTCCCAAAGTGTTGAAATTACAGGTGTGAGCCACTGTGTTCTGTATTCTTAAGAGATAACTCACTATTTCAAATACATTTAGAAATGTTTCTAAAATATAACAGTATAATCTACTTTAACATCATAACCTCCCTATGGCTGTTTAGAATATTGTGTGTTTTAATTTGGAAATTCTTCTAAAGATATCATTATCTTCTGGAATTTTTGAACTTTGGGACATTGTTTCTCGTGTTATTTGAAGTTCAGTAAATTTGACATTTGGATTTTACTGATAGTACTTTTTCATTATTCATTTAATAAATGTGTATTGAACATATATAATGTTCCAGGAACCACTTAGGGATATAGCAGAGAGCAAAATAGATTAAATTTTTGATCTTATGGTTTAGGACTTTTATTCTAGTAGGTCAAACAAACATTAAACAAATACCTAAATGTATAGTATACTATGTCAGTTAGTGATAAAGATATGAGGATGAATAAAGTGAAGTAGGGGAAGTATGCGTTGGGACTGAAGAAGATGATGGTTGAATCAAGAGCTGAATGAATTAGAGAGAGAAAAAAAAATCAAGGACAAGAGCTTTGCAGGAGAGGGTGCAAAGGCCCTAAGATAGGTATGCGTGGTGTGTTCAAGAAACTTATAAAGAAGTTTATATGAGTACAATACAGTTTGTTTGAATGGTACTTTTAGTTGATTATAACTGTAAGATAGGAGTAGAGAAAAACATTGCTCAAGTCTGTTATGAAAGCAGCTGTTTTTTGAAAGAGCCACATAAAATCTCCGTAGGGTTCTAGAAGTAGGGAGTCCAGAGCAAGGAGAGGTCAGGTACCAGTGGCTGCTGGTACTGAATAGAAGTGTTCTTCCAACTTTTCTGTATCTTTTTTTCCTACCCATGTTCTCTGTAATTGTTCAATACAAAAAAAGTTGCAAGGTTTTCCTTCTAAGTTGATCCAAACTTGACTCTTTTCCTGCTTAGTGATTAAAGAACATTTTCCCAACTTAGTCATTAAAGAACATTTTTGTGTCAATTCCTGTTACCACTAGAAATCTCTCTTGGGATACAGACTTCATACTTATGAATGATACTTACTTCTTACTTATGAATGAATAAAAATTCATTTGTAACTCAGTTGTTTCAGAACTCAGAATGTATTTTAGAATGAAAAGAAGATAAATGATAATTATGTTCTTATTAGACCGATAAAAAGCCCATTTAACACATAAAAATATACTTGAGGTACAGTTCTCTCTTAATAGCACTGGAAGACCTAGCCACCATGTATGGCAATGTTTCCATGAGAAAGTACATTAAAAAATGCAACCCAGACACTAGGAACACAGTGTGTTCTAATGCTCCATCGCTTGCCTCAAATATATTTGAGTTAGGTATGTCAAACACTGATATCCCACTTTGTATATAATTTTATTCTTTTCGAGGTATGTTTGTAAAGGAGTCAAAAGACCTGGCTCCAGTTCTGACCCCTGTGCTGTGTGATTTTAGTCATGGTGGATACACTTTGTCTCAATTTCCTTATGTGGAAAGTATGGATAATGATATTCCACCCTGCAGTGTTGTGGGAATTGAATGGGTTCGTGCATGTGAAAGTACTTTGCAAGCTGTAAAACACTGCACAAATATTGTTATCTGTCTGTATTTCTTCCAAATGCATAATTTCATCTAATCTTGTTGCAACATGTTTCTGCCTCCCCTTTGAATCTGTCTTCATTCAGTTTTGCTTTTATAAGGCAAAAACTCTCGTAATTTTGGATTTTAAACTGGTTTTGAAGCCTTTTGAGTATGTTTTGATTAGAATTGATTAGATGTTCATACAAACTATCTTGAATAAATTTTCAAATAAGGTTTCATAATTTTATAAATATTTGTTAAACTCTATCAATTGATTTAGTCAAAGCTTTTCCAGGGATTTTGAGATGAAGGATGTTATACCACAATATAAGATTATTGATGCTGGTCCATAAAGAAATTTTTAAAAATTCCACCCTGATAGTTAAACATGCCTGACCAGTCTTTCTTTCTTCCAGCCACCTCTAACCCCATTCTTCCAAATACCTACCCTGAAAACTTTTCTTGCTGTCTGTGAATGTGGTTACATTGCCTCCTGCCTCCCTGTTTCTTCTTATCTTCCTATGGCCATGGTGGACACCTGTTGCCCTCTAAAGACCATTTTGAGAGTGGAAAAAATATTCCTTGTGGAAGATTAATTGTCAGAAGTTAGATAACTTCAATAGGAAAAACTAGTTTGACTTTGTTTATTGAAGTATAATTTTTGTTATACCTTTGACTTTAATTATAGTCAGTTTATTTTCTGTGTTTAACTTATTTAAAATCAAAACATCCACTTCAAATTAGTTTTTTTTTTTTTTTTTTTTTGAGACAGTCTCACTTTGTTGCCCAGGCTAGAGTGAGTGCCATGGCATCAGCTTAGCTCACAGCAACCTCAAACTCCTGGACTCAAGCATCCTCCTGCCTCAGCTCCCAAGTAGCTGCGACTACAGGCATGCGCCACCATGCCGGCTAATTTTTTCTATATATATTAGTGGCCAATTAATTCTTCTATTTATAGTAGAGACAGGGTCTCGCTCTTGCTCAGGCTGGTTCGAACTCCTGACCTTGAGCAATCCACCCACCTCGGCCTCCCAGAGTGCTAGGATTACAGGCCTGAGCCACCGCGCCCGGCCCTCAAATTAGTTTTTATTCATTACAATTATTGATGGTAGAAAATCTGTTTAGTAAATTGACTTAAATCTATTGCCTAAGTTAGTGCAGTATAGTTCATTGAAAGATAGCCTGTGAAGAATGGTACAGTAGATCTAACAAGAGAGTAAAGTTAAAATCAATATAGAAGTAAATAAATAAAAATAAAACAAAACAAAACAAAACAAACAAAAAAGAATAATAGCCTGATCGTTTCCTTGAAAAGATAGTACTTTGTGAATCTCTTGACATATTTGATTATGACCATTGTGTATAGATAATACTTACTTATGAAAAGATCTTATCTTGCCTTTCTGATTTTTTAAAGTTTGTTATAGAGATACAGTCAGCTGTATTAACTGGATAATATTGGGGATGGGGGAGGAGAGGCAAAGTTTAGGTGACTTGGAGTAGGTGACTACATGTTATGGAGTAAGTGACTCCATGTTATGTTTAAAGAAAATTACAGAAATGTTTAGATTATACAGGGGCAATTAACCAATTAACCATGGTTATAATTGAGATCTAGATCTAGGGGCCCTGTAATTATTCAGCCATCCAACACACCAATCCTTGCTGTCATATGGTGCCTAATTGTAAGTTCAGGAGGGAAATACTATATATAACAGTAACTACCCAGGAGTTCCATTTCAGTTTCTTCAATCCTGTAGCCAATCATTTATATATTGGCATGTGCTTTCCTAGGAAGAAGGCATATTAAAGATGAAACTGCCTACAACTTAGCTATTTTGGAGAAGTTAAACAGACATGGCTTTTACCAATCTGGGAAAACCTTTTATATTTCATATAATAGTGTCATTCAGGCCGGGCGCCTTGGCTCACGCCTGTAATCCTAGCATTCTGGGAGGCCGAGGTGGGTGGATTGCTCAAGGTCGGGAGTTCGAAACCAGCCTGAGCAAGAGCCAGACCCCGTCTCTACTATAAATAGAAAGAAATTAATTGGCCAACTAATATATATAGAAAAAATCACCCAAGCATGATGGCACATGCCTGTAGTCCCAGCTACTCGGGAGGCTGAGGCAGGAGGATTGCTTGAGCCCAGGAATTTGAGGTTGCTGTGAGCTAGGCTGACGCCATGGCACTCACTCTAGCCTGGGCAACAAAGCGAGACTCTGTCTCAAAAAAAAAAAATAGTGTCATTCAAATATAGTCCAGTTCTTGAATTAACATTTTGTGTTTCTTCCAGTTGCTAGAACCTGTATGTCACCAGCTCTTTGAGTTCTATCGCAGTGGAGAGGAACAGTTGCTTCGATTTACGCTGCAGTTTCTCCCAGAACTGATTTGGTGCTACCTTGCAGTCTCAGCCAGCAGAAATGTGCATCGCAGTGGATGCATTGAAGCTCTTCTTCTAGGGGTTTACAATTTGGTTCGTAAATAATGCAGTTAACAAAATGTTTTTTGGCAAAATCAAATATATAAACTTTGCAGCTGCTTTTCATTTTAGTAAAATTAATATTTATGTTTCATACATCAAATAACTCATAGCTCATTCTCTCAAACTTTATAGGAGTTGGGGGATATACAGGCAAACATATAATTATATAAATATACCTTTATAAATTGATCGAAAGCTGAAAATCAGACCATTTCTATTCTTTTATAGAAGTGTCTGAAAATATCAGTGTTGTATTTTAACTTTTTTAAACTTAAAGTCCAATGTCTATAAAGTGTCTGTTTCTAACTGTTACAAAAAGTTCAAGAGAAACAATCTACTATAATATTCACCATTCATAGTTTCATAAAATCTGGACTGTATTTAGAGTTTATACTATTGATTTAACATATAGTTTGCATTACTAATAGAGTTTGTATATTAATTAGACACTTAAGGTTTGTACTTTTTAAAATGGAAAAGAAATATGATGTCATTTTCTTGACATTATTTATTTCATATTTAAATCACTGATTTGGAATATGTAATGTGTTATATGAGGAAGATCAGTGATTATTAAGATACTACATCTGTATCTCAGCCATTCTGAAAACTGTACTACTTATGTTTTAAAAGTGGAAGGGTATATGTTTTAACTATTGGTGTTTATGAATAAGTGATAATGGATTATTATGATTTAAGATTGACTCTAAAATTTCTTTCTACTTAGGTTTTTTTTATAAAAAATCTACACTAACAATTTAAACTTAGCTTTTGGATGTATGCGTAAAAAATAAATATTTTAAGGTATTTTCTTTCTCTTTTGTAGGAAATAGTTGACAAACAGGGACATAGCAAAGTATTGAGTTTTACGATTCCCTCTTTATCCAAACCATCTGTATATCATGAAGTAAGTGACATTTTATCAAAGTAAATGTGTTGGCTGGCCCTACGCTTTGATACTGCCATAAATTATGGTGTAGTTATTGAGGCAAAAAAATTGATCAATTTATTAGTACCTTAAAAAGTATAAAACACCATACAAAGTATTTACTATTTCCAAAGTGAGATGAAAAATCAAAATCATCAAACATTGAAATCCAGTAGTAAGAGATCTATTAAAAGTATTTTTTGTGGAATATTTTTCTCTCCTTCTGATGGATAAGACTAACTTTTTTTAGGTATGTGTGGCAATTGTTTATTTCCATGGTAGAATTTTTGAAAATTAAAGTATTTTTTAATTTCTCATTTGCATTTTGTTTTTTAATTATGTATTAAATCTTTGAGCAGAAAATTTAGTAGACAGTCTAAATGTTTCTAAGCTATGTGATGTTCATGGTGGCCATTCTTAGTGGTGTATATATTCTAAATACCACATTTTCAACAGGATAGCTTTTTTTTTCTTTATTCAAATGTCTTTTCTCTAGCCTTCCAGCATTGGGTCCATGGCTCTGACCGAGAGCGCGCTATCCCAGCATGGTTTATCGAAAGTTGTGTACAGTGGACCTCATCCTCAGAGGGAGATGCTGACCGCACAGAATAGGTATACGGTGGAGACATAACTTATTTATTTTACTACACTGATTTTTTAAAACAATTACTTCAGTAGATTTATAAATAATGCTTAATGAGTTATATGTAACAATTTACTTGAATATTGAGTCATTTTATGCCAGTGAAAAACACATCTAGATTTCTCGCTATACTTTGCCTCAGATGTCATCTGGAACATTGAATTTTTAAAATAGGTTTCATATGACTGTTACTTGGAAAGTCTGTTTTTTCCTTTTAGTTTTTCATTACTGTTGTGGGTATATTATACAGGTCTGTTCTGTAACATAATATCTCTCTCCTGTGACTGCCCTCTTCCCTATTATGGTTGACTTCTTAGAATTCTAAAGATTTGTTAATATTCTTTTGGTTTGTCTTTAGGTTTGAAGTGTTGACTTTCCTTTTGTTGTGTTACAATGCTGCCTTAACCTATATGCCCAGTGTTTCTCTTCAATCACTGTGTCAAATTTGTTCAAGGTAAATTAAAATTCAAGTGTTTCTAATATTGAAATATATGAATCTGGGATTGTTAGTTTGTTGTATACCTAAGTTATTTTTGTTTTGTGTAATCATTTGTTTAAAAGATTAGATAAGTTAATATAAAGTTCAGCCTACTCTGTACATACATAGTTCCCTATAAATGACAGGGATCATAAGAAACATGATAAACAATGTAAAGTTAGGCTGGCCATGGTGGCTCAGGCCTGTAATCCTAGTACTTTGGGTGGCTGAAGCAGGAGGATTGTTTGAGACCAGGAGTTCAAGACCAATCTGAGCAACATAGTAAGACCCCCATCTCTACCAAAAATAGAAAAATTAGCCGGACATAGTGGTGCATACCTATAGTTCCAGCTACTTGGGAGGCTGAGACAGGAGGATCACTTGAGCCCAGGAGTTTGAGGTTGCAGTAAGCTATGATGATGAGCCACTGCACTCTAATCCAGGCAATAGAGTGGGACCCTATCTCAAAAACGAAACAACACAACCCCCAAAAATATAAAGCTGAATTACATTTAAATGGAATATTTAATCAGAAAAGGACTAGGAGGATTATACTATATATCTTAAAGGATAGAGCTATTATGATCTTTCAATTTCTGGTATGCAGTGGCTTCTTTTTCTTTGCTTTTTTTATTTTATTTTATTTTTTCTTTTTAACATGGCTTAGACATGTCAACAAGATCTTTGCTTTTATTTATATATTTTTACTGTGCTCTAATTTGGTACTAAAGAATAAGTAAGAGATACTGGTTTTTAAAGTTTCCTTGTTAAAAAAAAATTGAGCCTCAGGGTGGGTTAAATAGATTATGATATCTTTGGTTATATTGTGCAAACATTAAAAATTCCTGATTTAAAAGAGTATTTAAGGCTGGGCATGGTGGCTCATGCCTGTAATCCTAGCACTCTGGGAGGCTGAGGCGAGTGGATCATTTGAGCTCAGGAGTTCAAGACCAGGTTGAGCAAGAGCAAGACCCTGTCTCCATTTACAAAATAGAAAGAAATTAGTTGGGCAACTAAAAACATATAGAAAAAATTAGCCAGGCATAGTGGCACATGCCTGTAGTCCTAGCTACTTGGGAGGCCGAGGCAGAAGGATTGCTTGAGCCCAGGTGTTTGAGGTTGCTGTGAGCTAGGCTGACGCCACAGCACTCACTCTAGTCAGGGCAATAGAGTGAGACTCTGTCTCATTAAAAAAAAAGTATTTAATGATAGTATGTTTGGTATGATTCCCACATTGGTTGAATATAACCCAGAATATTAATAATGGTTATCTCTAATTGGTAGAATTAGGGTTTATTTTAATTTTTCTCCTGTGTGATTTTTTGGTAATTCTCTAAATTTTCTGTAATGTGCATGTTACCTTTTTTAAAAAAATCAAAACAAAACAAAATGGAGCAAAAATGACAGAGATTATTGCCTTTGACAATTCAAGTAAATAAGGGAAATTGTAGAATTAAGAAACTTGTAGAATAATTTGTAGTGGGGCAACTTATTTAGAAAATGTAACTTAGCCAGAGGGAGCGTCCACTGAGCAATACTTAGAAATCACATCAATCAAAACAAAACAAAGGAAAAAGCAGAACTTGACACGGAATAGGAGAGAAAGCCAGGTAGGACCAGCAGGAGAAGGGAATTAACAAGACTAGGGACTTGTTAAAGAAGATGGAGAAGTGTAGTCTTTGAGATGATTGCTGAACTAGAGTATAATTACATTTCCTAACCTTGAAAGATGGCACCAATATGCTATCTCTCCCACTTACTGAGACTTTCCCATATGGTTCTTGCTTTAAATTGTTTAAAGGCAGAGGTGTCCGGACTTGGATTTCACAGATCTATAACATTTCAGAAAAGGTGATACAGGTGGGTTATCTGCACAGTGTTGCCAACTTTTCATTTTGCCAAGTAATTATAAATATCTATCATCAACATTATTTAACAAAAGGGAGTCTATTTTAACATCAAAAAGGGGGAAGGGTGGAAGAGAAGGCCAGTAATTTTGTAAATTAAAAATGTTTAGCTTTCTTTTCTTTTCATTTCACTATGATCTAGTGAAAACTTTGTTATGGACAAAAACAGGTGTACAAACCAATACTTTAGAAGTACTGATTTAAGGAGTAACTTCATGCAGCAATTTTCACCTGTAGAACTTAAAACCCACTACAAAGTCCAGGTCCTACTCTGAAGCAATGTTTTAAATGGTAGGACCCAGGAATCATATATATGTATGTATACATGAATGCATGTATTTATATTTTTATGTATTATATGTATAAATATGTTTTTGAAGCTCCACAGATGTTCAAATACAATGCCCTAACAAGAACCACCTTTGATGTTTCCCTGAAAAGTTAGGAAAGAATATGTATCACTGGTTTTTGCTCTGCATAATCCTAATGTACTGCATTCTGATTTAATTACTTTCACATTATGGGTAGGAAATTGCTGATATACCAATTTTACCTAACCAGGAAACTGAATAATCTTCAACAAAGAACCCAAGTAAAAGCTGATTTTAAAAGCAAAAAGAAATATAGATTATTTTAAACTAGCTATAGGAATTCAACCAAGGAAGATTTTAGTAGAAATATATTAGATTAATCTATGCCACAGGAGAAATAATTCCATGTAAATGTCCACCAGCTATAAGAAAATGAGGGTAGAGAAGAGTTCTAAGTAATTCAAAAGACTTAAGCTATTTAAGTAATGCTAACTCTTAAAACACAAAACATTATATAAGAGGAACTCCATTGACTTTGTCATTCCTGTCTTTTTCAGTTGTTTAGGTTTTTTATTTTTATTTTAGATTGCCTATTACTGTATTTTTAATGGTAAAACCCAGTTATTCATTTCTTTTAACTTCTGACTTCTTTAGTTGTTTATCAAATATTCTAATTAAGAGGTTTTGTATGTGTTTTTTTTTTTTTTTTTTTTTTTTGAGACAGAGTCTCGCTTTGTTGCCCAGGCTAGAGTGAGTGCCGTGGCATCAGCCTAGTTCACAGCAACCTCAAACTTCTGGGCTCATGCAGTCCTGCTGCCTCAGCCTCCCGAGTAGCTGGGACTACAGGCATGCGCCACCATGCCCAGCTAATTTTTTCTATATGTATTAGTTGGCCAATTAATTTCTATTTATAATAGAGACGGGGTCTTGCTCTTGCTCAGGCTGGTTTCGACCTCGAGCAATCCGCCTGCCTCGGCCTCCCAGAGTGCTAGGATTACAGGCATGAGCCACCGCGCCCGGCCATGAGGTTTTGTATGTTTTTAAGATGAATAGAAAAGAATTAGAAAACACTTCTATGTAATCAAGCTAAGCCTAGTTCGTATCTGTGGAATCTATGGAAAGAAAATTGGTTAGTGTTGTGCTGAAAGTAAGTTATAAACAGTTATGATAGTTAAGTACAAGAGCTTCTTGATGATCTTCATACTAGTGCAGGTTTTCCTGGAGTTGAAAGTGATCACACTGTTTTATAGCTAATCCAATCCTTTTGGCCTGGTGACAGTTGTGGTCAGCTTGCTGCTCAGTTTGCTTGATGATTATACCAAAATGATGGACTGGACACCTAGGAGGAAGGATATATAAATACAACCAGAAAAATTTCATGGAATATATGAGCTAGATTTAGTGGAAAATGTGTCCCATTCTTTAATATTCAGATTGTAATGAGTTATGGAAATAATTAAAACATTATTGAACACTTCCTACCCTCCATCTGCACACATATACATCCATATCCATTCTACTGAACAAAAAGCTGTTCAGTTACTATAAGCTTTGCTTTTCTGGTTCTGGCTGATGGCCAGCTTGATAGCCAGTGCTTTCTTCCTCTGTAGCATGTGTGGCCTGCTTAAAGAAGAGATTTAAAAGTAGGCAAGAGCTAGACTGAGTATGTTATAGTTAACAAGTTTTTACTGTCTGCTAATACTAAACATCATATATGGCACTACTAAAGGAAATATATGCACCAATGCTACAAATAAGTTTTGTAAGTATATACCAGAGTACTCTAAGTTTGAGGAAGTGATTTCTTTCTTTTTTTACTGTTGGACATCTCTATTAATACAAAGTTATTTAGCAGATGGCTTATCTTGCCTTTTGATGTGGAATAGAAGTATTAAAGATGAAACTGTACTAAGCTGTTAAGTTAATTCTCTCCCATAAGGGATGCCTCTGATTTTATTCAGCTGGTGAGTCATCTAGCTGACTAACTTGAATATGGATAGCTGTGAATTCCTAATCGGTATATTTGTTTCTGTGTATCTATAATGAAACCCTGTCCCCCTCCTCAATTCCAGGTCAGTCTTCCTGATAACCTGAACAGATTTCTTTTTGTTTTCTATCCATTATGGGCACCTTTGTGCAAGTAAACCATTTTGTGGATTAATTCTCCTGACTAATGAAATTAGTTATATAAATATAAAGCACTTATCACAGTGTCATCCACTTTGTTGTCATCCACTAAATGACAGCTATCATATTATTGTGTGCCAGTAATGAACATATGCATTCACTATGGATACACAGCATTGCTTTCTTTTTTTTCTTACCTGTTTGCTATTATCAACAGTTTTAGAACATGTCTGATATTAGGCCATTCCTTATTGGAAGAATTTATGGTTGATTTTTTGATTTTTTTCATCGCTTATTATTTTATTTGGAAACTTCTTTATACCTACCTAAATTTTGTCCGTCCTTTACAACCCATTGAAATAAGCTTTTCTCTAACTACTTAAGCATTATTGTTGTGTTTGGTCTTTATTTGAGGAAAGTTACAGGAGATGCAGCTTTTATTATGCTCTTAATTTCAAAGAGCAGAAGGAGGAAGACAGAAAGGTGCTCATTACTGTTTAAGCAATTCTTCCATTTTCTCTTTTCTCCCTTACTTCTCCTTTTTCTAATTCCCTGGCCTTTTCCCTGTTCCCCTCCCCACTTTCTAAAAAGCAGAGCAAGAAAGAAAGAAGGTTGAAATTGATTAGTTTCATTTCATAATCCAGATACCTATGAAGTATAAGTAGACCAAGTTTTAAATATCTCTCAAATTAAGGATTAGAAAACAATTGTTTCCTCTTTTTAGGCAAGTTTCTGCTCGCTGGTCTGATGATTTGAGGATCTGATAATAGTAGTTAACCTTTCTCTTCTTTTATACTTTAGGTTCCAGTATATTCATGAATAAATAAACTCACTGGAATGGGCCTTCAAATTATTTTATAGTTTGTAACATAGAATACATTAACAACAACCTCAAAAGTTGACTTTCATTCTAAGAGTAAGATAAATGTCTCTCAACAGAGAATAAGAATCATAGCAAGAGTTTTCATCACTTACAAATTGATACCTAGAATTTCTCTTAGAAATGTATTGGCAAAGTGCACTTTACAAAACAATTTTATTTTAACATGGCCTAAGAATTTGGCAGATATGTATATGTGCCCACAGAGTAAATTTAATACAGAAATAGAGATTATGACACTCAGCTGCTCTTTTGTAAGGTCGGGTCCTTATGTTTTGGACTTGCAGAGAGTGAACAGAGGAGTCAGGCATTCATGTGGCATATAACTTTATTCTTTCTGTTTCGTTTGTGTTTTGCATTTTGTTAAAATTCAATGAAGATTGTATGAGAGAACAATATCCTTGGATAGAGAGATCAGAAAACTGAAGAGTAAATCAGAGAATTCTTAAGTACCAAAAGAAAGAAATGGAGAAGAGGTACCATTATCAGTTAATAATGCAGCTGGACTAATTTTGGTTTCCTCTCAAATGTTACCTCCTGAAAGAGCCCTTCCATGACCATCTTTTCTAAAGTAGGACCTAGCACTTTCCCACCAAGTTTGTTGTCTTATAGCACTTGTAACACTGTAATTACCTTGTTTGTTCATTTGGTATAGTCTGTCCACTGCGAGAGATATCATGAGGTCAGGATCTTTGACTGTGTCATTTACTGCTATCTCCTGAGAGGTTAGAGAAGTATGTGGCATATGATAGAACCTTAATAACTATTTGTTGAATGAATGAATCAATGAATGATAGATGAGCTCTTCTACTTCAGATTTATGATTTGATAAGTAGAAATAGGATTAAAGAAAATAATTAGGTTTTTACTTCTAAAAATCTTTCATTGGTAAATATAAAATCACCGATTTTAGTTTTATTAATTATAAAAACTAATCCTTTGCATTTCTGAATAAAGGTTTAATTTCAGCCCCTGATAGATGACTTCTTATTTCCTTATGAATAGCTAGTAGAGAATATGAAAGGACCTGAAATCTTGTTTTCCTTGTAAATCTTTCAAGCGTGTTGGTATTTGAGAGATTTGACTCTGTAGTTCTTACATAAAGTAAATTTAAAAGTTGAATGACAAATCTTGAGTGAGCCATGGCAAAGTTGTTTTTTTTTTTTAAAAGAAAAGTTGTGTAGTAACAGCAATGACTTATCTTTCTGACCATATTCTCTTTCCTGAACTCTATACTACTTGTTCCTGATTTCTAAACCTGTATATCCAATCCAGGAACCATCAAGATGTCCCGAAATACCTTGTAAGATTTAGAACTCTTGAAACATGGAAAACATCCAGCAAAGGGTCATGCCAGCCTGAGGCTTATACATACCCCTCTGAGGCTGTGTGGGGTTAAATATTGGTTTGGTTATTTTGAGAGAGATAAATATTGATAATTTAAAGTTGACATATTTCTCTCTCAGGTAAAAGTCCAAGCTGGTTAGATGGTTTCGGGGGTAGGTTGGCTATGCTTTGAACATGTTCAAGCTCCTTCTATGTTGGGATTCTACATTCCCTAGGGTATTAACATTGTCAGTGTGCTTGTTGATTAAGACTATTACACCTGCCTTCTATCCTGCAAGCAGGGAGAAAGAGAGTGGAAGACATGCAGCTGTTTTTTAAGGGCAGAACCTAAGACGTTTCACTACTTTAACATACCATTTAGAAGAAGTTTCACCACTTTAACATACCATGTCTAGAACTTAGTCACATGGTCACACTTAGTTGTAAGGAAGGCTAGAAAATGTAGTCTCTAGCAGGATGGCCATTGTTCCTAGTTAAAATTGGTAGAGGAAAGTGGTAGTGTGCCTTATATATATTATATATATTATTAAAAATAGATATTGGGGCAGTGATAGTTTTCTTGGCAACCTTATCATCATCACATATAGGGAAAGACTATTTCCTAAAGTAAGAGGGAAGGCAGTGCTTTTCATGGAATATGGGCTGGGGGGGGAGGCATGACACAAAATTGACATTACACCATATGCCTAAACATCAACATATCTGAAACTTAGCATCTTCTAAAACAGTATGTTCTATTTGTCCTAATTCAGTTAATGACACTTCTGTTCAGCCAGCTATCCAAACTTAATGTGGGAATAATTATCCACTCCTCTTATTTCATCAGTCTCTTCCTCTTTGTATTTCCTAGCTGTGACTCCAATCCCATCCCTCCTCCTTCTCTCCACCATTACTTCTTTGGATTGATCCCCCTTCAACTCATTACTAGGGTATTTTGACCCCACCAGACACACCTCCAGTCTCAGTGAACTCTTCCAGCATAGCCAGAGTGATATTATCAAAAGACCAGTCTGATCATTTTACTCCCTTGCTTAAAACAAACCAAAACAAAAACCTTTAGTCGTTTCCCAGCATCTGTATAATAAACCTAGCAGATTGTAAGATACTCCATTGTAGGATTCTATGATCTGATGAGCTTCTCTGTTGTTTCCTAGTATCCCAGCATTCCATCCTATTAAAATTTCTCCAGTCTCCTTGATGTCATGGTGTTTCATCCTTCCTCTGCCTTTGCCCTTTCCTATGATTTCTACTTGGAAAAATACTGCTTTTTCATCAAGATCCAGTAGTTTAAAGAAATCTTATTCTAAGAAGTCCCCTCTGACCCTCTATTTCTTCCACCTGAGTTTACCATGCTCTACTTTTGCCACCTTTGGAACTTGCTCATTGCAATGTATGCTAACTGTACAATCTCCGTGATTAGATTGTGAATCCCCTTGGGAACTAGTGTCTGACACAAGATCAGTTTTTAATAAGCATTTACTGAATGAATAAATGAATTCATTGAAAATTCTTGTCTTTCATGCATTAGTTCTCTATTATTTACTACCATCCCTATTGTAAAAGTGTAAAGTGCAAGAAAGTAAAATTCTCTAAGTTTGCTTCTTTAGATAATAAGAGTAAGAGGCATCTCTATTCTAGTTTGGGCACATTTTTATAATTTCAAACAAAATTTGAGTTGGTTTTATTTTGCATGCAGCATATTTTTCTCAGTTTCTCTGTGTTTTACTCTTGATTCTAAAGAGTTCTGAGATCCTTTCAATATCAAATGAGTTTATATTTATTCTTTAAATTTGCTTTGAATTAATGACATTCTCAGTGGTATATTTTTTAGATGATCTTGGGCATTTTTAAGTGAAGGCTTAGATTCACTGAGTGGAGGAAATTCTAAGTTCCAGGTAGTGAGTGCATAGGGAGAGTGGGTAAATAATTCCAGCCTATTGGCAAGTGCTTTATTAAGTGAAGGTTGTATTACATCAACCACAGCATATTATAAGAAAGCAGCTATTTTCTAATAAATTTACTTACTAAAAATAGAAACTAATTGTTTATTTTAAAAACAGTACATGTTGATCATAGAAAATTCAGAAAATATATATAAACATAAAGAAAAAATAGGTCTATAATCCCACAAATCCGAGAACGATGACTTTGTATGTGGTTTTTTTGAGGTGACACACTACATATGCCTATTTGTTTATTACAAAATGATATTCAGCTGCATGTTGTTTTGAGCAATTTTTTCCCCTGTCGTTTGAATAGACTTTGAAAACATCATGTTTAATTTCTTCATAGTATTCTCTGAATGATTTATATAACTGGTCTCCTGTGTTGGACTTTTACATGGCTTCCTTTTTACTATAATAAATAGTCCTTAACTTTAGTACTCCTTAAATATTCCATACTATAATTTTTCTTTATATTTCAATTGTGTTAATGGTAGTTTCTTTTAAAAAAATTTAGTAAAATCTATTGCTACTCTTTATAGTTTTACCTTTGGTGTAATGATTAGGCAGCATGCAGAGAGTATCTAACTATTTCCTTATGTTTTATTTCTTTTATGGTTTTTAAACATTAAGAATTTTATTCTATCTAAAGTTTATTATGGTGCACTGTATGAGATTTGAGTCTACTTTATAGCAGTTTTTTGGATCCTGCAGTTTGTGTCAAGAAGTCCATCAGGAATTGAGGATCATACCACAGATCTATGTATGATAACTAGTGCCAAGTTCCATATAATAGGTTCTGCAGTAGCCAAAAATTATTAATAATTGAATTGACCAAATTTAGCAAACCAACCAATACATGAATCTGATTCATTTACCAACTTACTTATTGACATGCTTCTAGCTTTATAAATTTTTCCCAGTGTAACTTTACTCAGGAATGTTCTGTTTGGAAAGATTGTTTGTTTCATAGACTATAGGTTTGTTATGAAAATGTACTTAGTACATTGTTGACTTATAAATGTTAAAAAAATAAACCTAAAGTTTTACTAATTTTACAAATATATTTATTTTGGTCTTTCTAGAATCTGTGTTTGTGGATATCCTCGACAACATGTAAGAAAATACAAAGGTATAAGTAGCAGGATACCAGTTTCTTCAGGATTCATGGTACAAATGTTAACAGGAATTTATTTTGCCTTGTAAGTTTATCTCATATACAAAGTAAAAACTTTGATCTCTTTGGAAGATTATAGTCTATTAATCTATTGTCATTATATTATAATCTTGACAGATAAAAAATCAGCATAGGTTTTGTGAAAGAATATGAATCAAGATCTTGATAATAGTTTTATTATTTAAAACAAGTTCTGAAGAATTTATAACTAAAACACTTCATCATCTTTTTTTAATTCAAGGACAGAATGAAAATTAGTAACACTTAAATTATACTCATAGTCCCTTTATTACTTTTTTTGGCTATAATTTCAAAATAGATTTTTTTCTCCATTAAATATCTTTCTCCATTTCTGGAAACTTTAGCTCTTAAAAAACATTTTAGAGCCTCTTTGATTAGAAATAGTTCATTATTAACTTATTATTAATTTCTCATATTAGTGCTTAGTCTTACCTAGTGACTTAGGTAATAGTATTTTTTCTTTGGACCATATCTTTTACTTTGTAATTTTCTTATTACACATGTCATACTGTACTTTGCATTATATTTACTTTATACTTTAAATTTTGCTGGTAGATGATAAGCTTCTTGCCTGAAGGCAGAAATTATAGTCTGTGGGTCAAGTCTGACCTGCTGTCTGTTTTTATAAAGTTTTATTGAAACATAGTCACACTCATTTGTTTATGTATTGTCTATGGCCACTTTTGTGCTGCAGTGGCAGAGTTGAATAGTTGTGGTAGACACTCTAAGGCCCACAAGCCCAAAATACCTGTCTTACCCTTTAAGAAAAATTTTCTGACCCCTGTGTTAGCCATTAATGTTGTCCCACAGTTCTTGGATGCTCTGATCTGTTCTATTTTACCTTTTTTTTTCTTTGTGTTTCAGTTTGAGTAATTTCTCCCATCTAAATACTAACCAGGCCCAACACTACTTAGCTTCTGAGATTAGAGGAAATATGGCGTGTTCAGGCCATAGACAATTTAAGTAATTTCTGTTGATCTATTCTGTCTTCATGTTTACTGATTTTTTTTTCCTTGACTAGGTTGAGTCTACTAATGAGGCACTGAAGGCATTCTTTACCTCTATTACCATGTTTTATTTCTGGCCTTTTCATTTGACTCTCTTGTAGTTCCCATCTCCCTGCTGAAATCTCTATCTGTTCATGCCTGTTGTCCATCTTTTCCACTAGCCTATGGCATATTAATCAGAGTTATTTTAATTTCTCTGATAACTTCAACATCTGGATCATCTCTGAATTTAGTTCTATTGATTCCTCTATCTCTTGATTGATTTTTTTTTTTCTTTTTGTGTGCTTTGCAGTTTTTGACTGTTTATGATTTTTTTCAGGGGTAGAAGAGTAGAGACTGAGGGGTAGAACAGTAGAGACTTATTTATGACAGGAAATAGGCAGGCCTCTTTTTTTTAGGCTACTAGTGGAGCTATATCATAGGCAGAAGTGAGCTGGGGTTGGGTTTTGTTATTTCTATGGTTAACTTCAGGGCATCACCTACTTCAAATTGTTCTAGTGCTACTTGGTACATAGGGTGGGAGCTGGATTGTTGAAGGGTTTTTCTTAATATTCCTGCTTTATCCTCAACTTTCAGCCTTCTCTGTATGCCTGCACTTCAGAGAGGGTCTCTCTCCATGTTCTTGGCCCTCCACTAGCAGTAGAGTGTTGTTGCTTGTTTCTAGGTGTATACTAGCCTGGTGGCAGAGGTAGGAGGATGGAGGGAAGTAATGTTCTCTGTTATCCTATTCTGGCCTCAGTTCTAGGCAGACCCCATGTTCCTTCATCTCAGGGATGGAAGTTTCTCAGTAGTCCTGCCCCTCCTCCAGTGGTAAGAGACCTCTAGTGATCTCAGCATAGAATGAGGGCTTTTTTTTTTTTTCTTTTTCTTTTTCTTTTTCTTTTTCTTTTTTTTACCCTCAGAGCCAAATTGATCTTCACTTGAGTCCTGGAGGTGAAAGGGTTTGCTGCTCTTGCCCCAAAGGCTTTAAAACTATTGTTCTATGTAAGAAAATGGTCTGGCTAGGTCTTTGTGCTTTCTCCATGTGAATGGGCACTCTTCTCCTTCAGGCCTGTACTGTCAACAGCAGCTTTCTGCAGTGCTCTGCCTTGTTTCCAGTTTTTCTTGTGAATATGGAGAAGACCCTGTGAGTGGGTATGAGCTCCCTATATATGTGCTCCCAGAGATTCTGTAGTCTCATGCTAGCCCATAGCTAGCTTTTAGCAATTTGATTTTTATGAATTTATTAAAAAGTTTAGCTGAATTCTTCTTACTCACTCGTATTGTGGTCCATCTCTCCTTAGAGGCACCTGTCCACTCTTAAGAGTTCAGGCTACTTGGATACCCTGTAACCTTAGCTCTTTGATGCATTCATGGGAAGTTATGATTTTGAAGATTACCTGGCTTTGTCTTATTTTTAGGGAGCAATGCTCTTTCCAGTTTTTTAGGCCTCACACTCTTGATGTAATTCATGCCTCCTTATTTTGTTAGCAGATGACCAAGCCATTGTCTCTCTATTAATTTAGCTGATTTTTAGGAAGGGCTTAGCATATCTGAAAATTTTCATACACACACACACATTTTTCCACTCGTATTTCTTTGCTAGTTGCAACATACATAATGTACACTTCTAAATGACTATCAAAATGTAAAGAAATAACTACTCAGGATATTGCAAGCTACAATAGTTGTAGATTCTCATTAAAAACTGTGGAAGTTATAGAGTAATTTGACCATAAAGTGTTCTGAACATTATTTTGAAGTATATAATTTATTATTCTCTGACTTGCTTTGAAAGGGTAAAATGCTTTGAAAATTGCCTTAGCTTTTTTGATTTCTGTTCTATAAATAGTCATGTTCTTTAGAGAAGAAATGTATATCTATAAAATTTTCTTTGCTATTAATAGGTTTTTAGATACAGTTGAAAGGAATTAAAAGATTTAACAGTACATTTTTAAGAGGAGTAGAACGTTAAGCACTGTGCTAATATGATCTGTTATTTTCCTCAGTAAAGATAAATAGTTTCTCATCACATTTTGTTCAATTCTAATTTTATAGTTATAATGGAGAATGGGATCTAGCTCAAAAAGCATTGGATGATGTTATATACAGAGCCCAGCTAGAATTATATCCAGAGCCATTGCTGGTAAGTACCTTATTTATATAATTTATGATTTCTCAACCTAGAACTATAAATTGAGAAGTAGCCATTCATGGTTCATTAATATGTCATTAATACTCAGTAATTCATGCTCTTGTTATACTTGGAAAATTTTATAATTTAAAAAGGTGTATATAAAAATTTGAAAATTTTGTTAGAATAACTTTGTAGATTTCTGATAGTCTTTTTAACTTATAAGAATATCCTCCTTAAAATACTTTAGCTGTACTTATTAGTTAGCATTTAGAAATATAATGTAATATTTTGAAAATTTTAACTCTGTTACTTACGTATTTGTTTAACCATGAGTTTTGTTCTGAGCTCCTTCTTCTTATTCTAAAGGATTTATGTATCATCTTATGAAATACCTTGGAAAAACCATTCTTTATATAAACCTATAGCATTTAACATCATGTTTTATCTAAGGGTAAAATAATAACATCTTTTAATGTCAATCTTAAACTAGATTTTTCCTTCTTAGGTTGCTAATGCAATAAAGGCTTCATTGCCTCATGGTGCCATGAAATCTAGTAAGGAAGGTACGAGGTGTATTCAAGTTGAAATCACACCAACTTCCTCTAGAATATCAAGAAATGCAGTAACCAGCATGTCAATAAGAGGTCATAGGTGGAAAAGACATGGTAAGGAATACACCATTTTTCACGTTAGAACATTATTGATTCTTCACGTTTTTCTCTGTACTTTTGGTGCTGTAACTTCAAACTTTAGTAAATAGTTACCATAGTAGTCTGAAAGAAAGAGCTGTAATGTCACCCTTAATTCCAAACTCATTATCCAGGAGCAATAGGCAATAAGAAAAATGGAGCCCCTTATGTTATACTTATGAATGAAAATTTATTTAAGAATTGTATTGGCTTTTAAATTTTATTCAATAGAGTGGGAGAGTAAGGAAAATGCATTTTAAAATTATTCATACATTTTGAGTTTCTATTCATATTTGCAAATATTCCTTAATTAATGTTTCTGATTAACTCTCTAGCAAGTAAACTTGCATATTGAAGCAGAACAAATAATAGGGACTTTAAACATTTTGCCTGGATTTCCTAGTAAAGAATGCCATAGTATCAATCAAAGACTAGGCATTTCTATTTTCCTGAGATTATTTTTCTTTCAAGATTTTCTTGTATGTTAATATTTCTTCTTGTCTGCTTAATTTTATTATTTTAAAATTTTACTGGAAATTAATTCATTCACCATGGCTTTGCCAATGCTTTCCCATTTTTCTTCCTTCTCTTTTAATTTATTATTCTTTATTTAATTTCTTACACATTTTATAATTTCCCTCATATTTAGAAGTTATTGCAATAGCAAGAATCAGTGTAAGAAAGTCCTAAGTGCACATATAGGAATAACATTCACTGGGTGTTGGGCAGATGGGAGGGGGAGGAGGGGATGGGTATATACATACATAAGGAGTGCGATGTGCACCATCTGGGGGATGGACACGCTTGAAGCTCTGACTTGGTGGGGGCAAGGGCAATATACGTAACCTAAACATTTGTACCCCCGTAATATGCTGAAACAAAAAACCAAAAGAATCAGTGTAAGAAAGGGATTACTGTCGCCTTCCTTAGAAGGTAACCACTGGATGGGAAGTATTAATAATAAGCCACTAATTTACCCCAAGCAAATATGTATATTAGGGATAAAACAAAATCCCTTCTCTGTTTTCTTCTTCCTATGAACTCAGATGAAAATGGTAGTTCCTTTTGGTATATTTAGTTCCAGTTTTCTCATGATGTCTACAGAGAAAATAGGAAAGGAGAAGAATGAGGTTATTTATGGTAAAAGAGAAAGTTAATGATGAGAGCAGTTGCCATTCTTTTCACTCAAGGGAATCTAGGAGATTGTATGTCAAAAAAGAATGACAATAAAATTATGGAGTTTACCCAGTGATCATTTTTGATATATTTTTTTAAAGTTAGTGTGATAATTCTTGGAAGACCTGTAGGAAGGCATAAAAGAGGTGGTGATGTTTGTCAATAGCAAGGCAAATTATGCTACTATTTAAAACATACAAAGTCTAAACATACTTCAGTTTCTTCTATGAAAATTATGCTACTTAATAGGGCTAGGTTATAGGTAGAAAGTCATTTAACTAGATATGTGGATATTGTAAGATCAGAATCAAAATCAGTTTTTCTGTTTTGGCATTAGTGTGTGAAAACGGGCACAGAGGCAATGAAACAGATCATATTGGTCACTATGGTCATAATTGCTCCCAACGACAGCTACAGGAAATGCAAGAATGAATTTTCATTTCTTTTCCACTTTCCCTTCTTCCTGTTTATTAATAGGTAGATACATTGGGCAGTAGGGGCAAAAATGTAGGTACTGCAGTTAAAAATGTAAAATGTGATGCTCCCTTGTATTTGTGCATGTGGGTGTGTGAGAGGGTATGTGTGTGTGTCCAGGCATGCATTTAACAGAAGGAGATATGTACCCTGCAACAAAATGGAAACCATGTTTTCCAGAAATATTTTATAGGAAAAATTTACCAAAACAAGAGAAAAGGCTGCTTGAATATATTGTATGTATTAGATTCTTACATATCTTCCAGGTTCTAACTTGGCTGCCATTTGAGGAGTTGGCACTGTGTCTTAGGGCTGCGGCCTCATTAAAGTAACCTTCTTATCACCTATCCCCTTTCACAACTCTAACACTTGGGCAAATCCTGTTTATGAAAATAAGTAAGTCACAGATGAGGATATAGAAGAGAATGAACTATGAAAAGCAAGTCACATGAATGGAGCAGATACAGAATGCAGTGTAGCCTTGTTCATCACTCTTCTGTAGTGTGGATTCCCTTTATCCAGTGGACTCTAAAACATTCCTACTCTAAAGTCCTCCTTATTTGCTCCTACAGGTAGGTTGCCTTCTCCTTTTTTAGGGCAGTCTTGGCTTTCCTTTCTAGAGTAGTACTTTTCATTAAGTTACTATGTTCTGCTGAATCAAACATGTTTCTATTTTCCATCCTCATGGTCCTGCTTCCTACTTGAACACATTATTTGTCCTAGGTTTTCTAGCTAGCATTGGCTTCTTGTGGGGAAAATAGATATTTTCGCTATAGTTCTTAAATACATAGACAGTTCTCAAGTTATAAATAGGTTTTTGAATTTAATTTTATTTGTATATAAATAATATTTATTGTATTCATGTATAAGCTATTAATATAACAAGATTTAATTTATTTATGCATTTCTTTAGAAACAATGTTAATGGGCCTGTAGATTCCAGGGTGACCCATAATAGCCTTTTTATCTCATGTTTCTGAAGCATAGTACTGTAGAATGAAAGTTCTGTTTATGGCTGTGTGAGTTTCTATATTTGATGGAACTCTAAATGTGTTTCCAATTCCACCCATATCTCCACCATTCCCTCACCACACCAACCTTCGCAGGATTTCTTCCCAAAACCTTGACTGTGTCTGTCTTACCATAGAAACAAGGAATATGCATCCCTAAGCCAGTGGTGATGAGAGTTGGCAAAGGAGAAGGGACAAGAAACATGAATATTCTTTTTCTCTTTCTGTCTCTCTCTTTGCATCTTTCTTTGTTTCTCCAGTTCTGGGAAAGAAGAAAACAATTGGCCCTTTTTTCTGTTAGGTCTATTCCCTTCTTCTTTTCTTTTTTCTTTTATTTGTTGTGTCTCCTTTTTCTATCTTATCTGAGTAGAAGAAGGAAAAGAGTGAGTAAAGTTCTTTCATGGAAGTAGCCAAGCAGAATTTTATTTATTTGCTTTTTTTCTTTCGATCTCCCTTTATCATTAAGGAATATATATAATTAAGCCACATGAATGTATTGGTGTGTTTGCATATCCGAGTCACCAAAAATGCTTACACAGTCAACAAATACACTAAATGGAAGCAATTAATGACATTTATTCTTTTCTATTATTAGTAACAGAAAAATCTTTTATCTTTACTGCCAAAACTCCTGTTCATGTTTTTTAAATTAACTTTAAACAATTTTCATTACTTACATTTTAAAATATTTTTTGAGCTATTCTAGAATTTAGAGCTTTAGAGAAAGCTTCATGGGTCTGCTATTTTTTACTTAATATTAAGGATTATCCACAGCTTATATTTTAATGGAAAGTGTCCTAATAGAAGGTAAAAAATTACTTTATCTTTAACATTTATACCCATCTAAGAACATGTATCCCTTGCCTTGGTCTTGCTGTTGAATAACAACTCAAATATCTAGAATTGTATTTTAATCAATTCTAGTATTTGCTTGGCCCTGTTGTGTTTCTTTTACAATTAATAAACTTTATTTTTTTATAGCAGTTTTAAGTTCACAGCAAAACTGAGTAGAAAACACAGAGAGTTCTCAAATATTCCTTGACCCCACACAAATAGCCTCCCCCACTATCAATATCCTGCACTAGAATGGTACATTTGTAAAGCCCTACAATCTAAATTTTGACCAAATATTACATCCTCATAGCAACTAAATAGGACGATTTTTAAAGAAAGCTTCATTTTGACTGAGGTATTATTTTGGAGAGATCTATTTGAGGAGTAGTAGCATGTTTGCTGATTTCCTCACTTTTCACTTGATTATTTTATTTTATTTTATTTTATTTTATTTTATTTTATTTTATTTTATTTTATTTTATTTTTGTGACAGGGTCTCGCTCTGTTGCCCAGAGCTGGAGTGCAGCGGTGCAATCACAGCTCATTACAACTCCTGGCCTCAAGTGGTCCTCCTGCCTTAGCCTTCCAAGTAGTTAGGACTATAGGCACACACCAACATGCCCAGCCAATTTTTAAATTATTTGTAGAGACATGGTCTTACTATGTTGTCTAGGCTGGTCACTTGATTATTTTAATATTTTACTGATATGACTTAACTTCATGCATTTTTCAAATTTTTTAAGCTTTGTGCTTAAATCTTTGAGAAAATTTTAATGGATTTATAATTCCCTGTCAATACATATGTTTGGAAAATAAAATTACAATGTAGAATTACTGCTTTTGACTTTTTAGGATCATAATTTCAGAATTAATAGCTTTATGTATTGCTAATTCTTTTATACATACTGTGTTTCATTTAGTCTATAGATGGAGACTAGTTCAAGGCAAAGGTGTATTTTTGCAAAGCTAAATTTTCAAGCTACCAACAAATTGAGGGCTATCTAGGAATCATAATTTGAAAGTAAAACACAATTTGAGGAGGATAATAATAGAATAAACTTTAAAAAATATTAAATAAGGTTAGAGGCTGGGCGCAGTGGCTCACACCTGTAATCCTAGCACTCTGGGAGGTCGAGGTGGACAGATTGCTCAAGGTCAGGAGTTTGAAACCAGCCTAAGCAAGAGCAAGACCCCGTCTCTACTAAAATTACAAAGAAATTAATTGGCCAACTAAAAATATATAGAAAAAATTATCTGGACATGGTGGCACATGTCTGTAGTCCCAGCTACTCGGGAGGCTGAGGCAGAAGGACTGCTTGAGCCCAGGAGTTTGAGGTTGCAGTGAGCTAGGCTGATGCCATGGCACTCTAGCCCAGGCAACAGAATGAGACAATGTCTCAAAAAAAAAAATTAATTAAATAAGATTAGAGAAGAATAAATAAATTATGATCATGATAAGAATCAAAATGAAAATTCCAATAA